ACAACCACTTGTAGTTGCTCATTCTTGAACATACTATCCTATGGTATTTCAAGATTGAACGAGGAGAATAAAATTTATGGCACAGGAACTGTATACTTCTGAGAGATTATATAGTTCTTTTTTAAGTATCGTAACCTTCAAATCAAATTAAATTAATCGTTGTATAGTGAAATAAGTATATCATATTTTCAAATTGAATTAATCATTGTATAGTGAAATAAGTGTTCTTGAACCTTAAATTATAATTATTCCAAAGATTTAAAATGTAAAGCATTATGTTTATTGAGAAATTAATACAAGTTGAGGAATTTTCCTGTATTTCTTTAACAATATGCAAATGATTTTATCAAGTTGAAGTAGTATCAATTTTTAAAGAGAGACCAGCAGACTATTTGCTGAACTCTTTGCAACAGGGATGCCATCTCATCTCCTCGGCTATCCCCATGTTCACTTTGCTTTTCATTACTTTTAAGAAATGTACGACCATAATTTTATTATGCCGCCCCAGGAAGACATTCATCTCAGTGTCATGCATCTCTGATCCGAACATTAGTTCCCTGTACGAACTTGAAATCAAGTGATAAAAGTTAGACAATTACTTAAACTCAGACTGAGACAGAGAAAGATATTAAAGCACGAGCAAAAGTAGGTTAAGCTCGAGAACCGAACATATACAGAACGGAACACATATTAAGGAGCATCTCTACATGAAAAACGTAGCAGGACATGTTTTTTGGGTACCTTTTTCTCCGGAAACGTAAAGAAATTAGCAACTTGAACTACTATCACATTAATATAGTAGTCTCTATTATATACACATAATCAATTCAACCTTTCCAATCTTTTTTCTTTTTTTTCTTTGGTAGTAAATGGAACAAATTAAAAATGTTATCAGAGGAAAAGGTTAGCCATTTCCAAAGTTAGACCAAGTAACGAGCATATTTTATAAGTGACTTAGACGGTTTGCTAGCAGCAGGACTCAAACTCATACTTCCCTTACACAAGGTAAACAATCTTACCAGTTGAACTACCCCAATTGCCATTAAAATCATACATGTGAGCATCTCTCCTACTTCAAATAATTATTTAGAACGATTACTGTAGTTGCCCCTCTTTCATGTATCCCTATCTATTTGGATTAAATTGTAGATACTATTAGTATAGAGTTTAGGGTTTCTATAAAGATGATTATGGCAATATGTAATAATACGGATGTATTCTCCTATTGTGGTATAAAGACTTCAAGACTTATCTTCATACGAATGAATATGACCACATAATCACCAACCATGCATGTTTAATTAGCTAGATGTATACCACTAATGCAATGTGTGAAAGAGAGTAAGAAACTGCTGCAAAGGCTGCTAAGCCTGAATGAGGTATGAATGTCAGAATCTGGAGAAGAAAAGATCACAACCAGTGTTCCTATACTTTAAAATTAAGCTTAAAGCTAGAAGGGTTCAAGCCTCATGCCAATGCAGCAGCTTTAAACACCCCTAACACTACTACTACTATACTATAAATATTGGACTTGGTGTAATTGGAGGGAGGAAGGAGCTCAGTGTCTATATAGTCTTTTTCTTTAGTAGCGGTGTAGCCGTCGACTTTTGCTGCTGCCAATTTGCAAATTGCACTCTCTTTCAGATTCAATATATATGGAGAATCAGAGGTGCAACTTTTTTAGTGTAGTTTCTGACCTATTTGTAACACTGCTTATTTCGGTCCACAATCTCTCCCTCCCCTTCCATCATCTTAGCTTTGGATGATGGCCAAGGAGATGTTTGTCAATCAACAGTTTTGTACCTTACTTTAAAACAAAATCTCGGGATCTCAGCCGGCCTGGAGAGAGACGCAACACATAGTGCTTCTGTAGCTCTCTTGTAGTGCAACAGTAATGAGCAAAACATTTCACTATAATATATCATGTGGGGACAAGTTGCAAAAGGGTCCCTAACTCTAAGTTTTTAGCATACTTACAATCGGATTTGGGACCCAACCAAGTTGAACAATGTGAAACAACTAATGGACAAGAAAGGGTTGTCACCTTTAGTTAAAGTTAGTGGTAAAGCGTAATAACTGCGAGGATTGCAGGCGCATCCTGCAAATTGTAATTCAATTTGCACATATATAGCTAGAGACCTGATAGAATGTTAGCTCAGGGTGACGACGAGTTACATTTTAAGCCTTGGGAGAGTATAAGAGGGTTAGGTTTTTAATTGTTGCTTCCCACGTCTTGATCAATCTTTATCCCAAAAGTGAACTGATCAAATACTTTGAAGGAATGTGTGGCATTATTGTCACTGTGTAATGCTTCATGAATATTTTGTGAATAAATGTGCAACACCATTTGTAGTGTCTAAAAAAAAAGTTCATTTGTTTATCTTGCAGAGAACTAACCATAGCATGAAAAATTAGCAATTTTCTAAGTTTGTTTCATATAATAGCTTTAACATTTTGTACGAATATTTTGATATTACACTTCTAAATTTGAGAGGATCTTCGATAAAATGTTTCATAAATCAAACCAATTAGCACGAGGATCATCATGCGCTCATTTCTATGTTTGTGCTTGCTATTGCATAAGCTCCCAAAAAAAAAACATAATGATAAAATCAGAGGGAAGAAAAATAAGAGACCAAACAATTGCTGGTTAAGAGTTGGTCATTACCCAAATCAATATAATGGATAGCACTGATTTTTAAAAATAATCACAAACACACACACACATGCACACAGCGATGCTGGTTAAGTGTAGTCCAGGATAACCTAGTGCAGTGTATGAGTTCACAAGTCATGTTAGAGCTAGTGTTAGGTTTTTACTTCCATATGTCTTTGTTAATTAACAGCTCTATAAGAGTTGACCTGCCAATTAGAGTCCATCTTCTGGGCTCAAGCACACTTGGATCCTAGTTTTGGCACTTCTAGCTAGATAGCTGTTCTCAGTGATTGATTCTCATTAACCAAGGGAAAAAAAAAAAAACTGATGCAGCTTTTAGCCGAAAAATATTTGTCCGCAATTGTATCCGGGTCTTTGTTTGATTATATCAATGACCAACCAATGGAGTCTGATGACTGCGGTTTAAACTTTAAAGCATCAAGCTAGCTAGGCCTGGAGTGAACTCTGGGTTAGAAGACATCGACATGGACATCATTCAGCAGTACTGTTATTGATTTTTGGTTTCATCAAACACAAGAGCAAAGGGTGAATAGCTAGGTCAGTTGTCTTAATTGTTATACCCCCATTTTTTTTTTTTTTTTATTTGGTCCGACGACGATTTCTGTAAACTAATCATAAACCTCTGAAAATATTTAAAACATTAGAAATTTGAGAATACAAAAAAATCATAAACATCCTCACTTGCCAAATGAGACTATGAAGAGTTTAATAGAGGGTGTAAAACCAAGGGACTGTTATCAAGAAACGCAAATTACAATGCTTCATTGGAGAAAAGAGAAGAATCATACCTTTTCATCTGCTTTTCTTCCGAGTTAAACCATATTCAATAATCTTTCTCCATTTTCTGTAAGAGCCATAGTGATTAGTATACAAAAAGTAACACAGGAACAAATGTATTGTTAGATCATAAACTACACTTCTGTGGTGTGTAGCTGCAACCCAATATCTAGCATTGTCCATCCTTTTTCTCTAACATTACTAGAAAACTGGGGCCTTATTAGCGAATTAAACTACCTTTATAAGCTTTAAGGAACCTTTGCATCACTTTATATGGAATAGTGGAGTTTCGGGAAATGTTACAGTAACAGCTCCTTATAACTCATTAGTTTTTCTCTTGGGGGTCAACAATGCTTTACGTTAAGGTTCTAGATAGTCATCTTTTGAACACTTGTATTTGAGATTTTATAAAGTAATAGAAATTGTACTTGGGCACTTAGAAATGCTTTTCCCAAGAGATAGAATAATTGTCCGTGGTAACTGAGCTTTTAGTCATATATTTACTTTCTTGGTGATATTTGATTTATTTGCATTTTCTTAAGCTAAATAATAATTTTCTTCATCTCAAATGGGAGGGGTACATATACTATAAACCGTATATGCATAAGTGAACACACCCTATAAATGGGAAGAAATTAATATAAATAAGCCCTCTTAGAATTAGTTGTTAATGAGGCTAATATCCCTTCCCATCGTAATTGATCTATTATACAAGATCAAGAAAATTGCTTGGTCAAAATTGCTTCTATAAGTTTCTAAACAAAAACAATCATTGAATAGTGTATATACTTGTTGGTGTAAAAATATATTTCTCTTACAAGTTCATGTGATATGTTAAATCACAATAAGGACTGAAAAAAAATCCTAGATATGAATTAAGTATGCATTGTGTTTTTTTCATTATTTAGTCAACTCAGTCGAAAATTCTTGGAGAATTATTATCAAGAAGTCACATCCGAAAATGTTAAAAACGGTTATCCAAAATGTTAATTTTAAACTCTTTGACAGAAACGCCTTACTGCCGTTACAACCTTGTGAATGGCATAGTTTATTTTCTTTGGATACTTGCTATCTCTTTTAAAGATTTCGATTATGATCATATATTAACGTAAATGTTTCTGTAGAATCGGCAAGTGAGTTTTCAAAAAGAATTCATACTTCCAAAAGTTATAGCTCTTGACTTGAGCTCCAATTAAGCATAGAAATAAAACTCTTTAATGTTAAAAATGAAGAGGTAAAATGGAGAAAGATATTGGAAAAAAATTCCCTGGGACATCTTCACAATCATTTGCAAAAAGCTAGACTTAATAATGGAATGATAATTAGCACCAAATTGCTTTAGAAATGAATGAAATTTATATCATGAGAACTTGAATTGCATATTGTGGATTTCAGATAGGGCTTCATGTTTAAATGCTAGTAATTACTAATTACCGTCAATAGAAGATCCACATAGATGGTGAAAGCCACTAAACATGAGAGAGAGAGAGAGAGAGTCTGTGTTTAAGCAAAAACAAAAGAAAATGGTAAAAATCTCATGCATAGAACGAAAAGCAAAAGGGTTTTTGTTTACTTTCAGTTCAAATCCAAGTCCCAGTCTCATTTGCTCGAGCAATTCTCCTCATGTCTAGTTCCCATTCTACAGACAATTCGTTCTAGTATGGTCTAATCTTACATTCCAAGACAATCCTCCCAAAGTCTCTCATCCAACCAATCCCTCCCCAAGTCCCACCTAGCTTCCAGCCAAACCATCTTGCGAGCATGAGTCCTAGCTCTTTTAAAGCTGTTTCCAGACCTGTAGAAAAACCAAAACTTCTCTCTTTCTCCCCGACCCCTCCATTGTCAGTTTGTTGGGATTCTCCTTCGCTCTTGTCTGAGTGGTTTGTCAGCCAGACCACTGTCACTTCACCCCAAAAAAAAAAAAAGAAAAAAAATACCGATACCAATAACAACTCTAGCGAATACTAATTACTACTAGAATCCATCTTGAAACCGATTGATCGATGAAGGATCCAAACGTTTCTGTGTCGTCCCTCCTGCTCCTCCTGTGCAGCTGCCGCTCCGTCCCCAATTTAATCCTTCGTCATGATTATTATACAGTGTCATTTCTCTACTACCACCCCCACCAACATCATCAGCACCAACTCCTCCTCCTCCTGAGGCATGATGATCAGTAGTACTACTCCCTCGGGTGATGCTTCCATTAAATGCGTGCCCTATAACCGGTGCACCAATGCAAGTGTAGTTGTTACCAGTAATTTCTGCTTGGTTAGGACTGCAGCTTGAGTAAGCAGCGTTTCCCCCCGGGACGACATGGCCGACGAAGTAGTCGTTCACGGCTGGAAACTGGGATGGAAAGGGAACGAGCCGGGAAGGCGATGAATACATGTATGGTGACTGAGGTGATGGTTGCCCTTGTGGAAGCAAGGTGGGGGTGGAACCCGAGAATAGCCTTGTTGGGTAGACTGATCGAAATGGCATTGTTGGATCACTTAAATTCGCGGTTTGATGAAAGCCTCCTTGTTGCATTGGCTGGCTGCTTATTATATATTACACGCTCATTCGTACATGTTTGATGAAAATGATCAAGAATAGAACAATGCTAAAGCTATCAAGAGTCCGTCTCAAAGAAGTAAATTATAAAAATAACCCCTTTGCCTAAAAAGGTTTTGGTGCCAAGAAAAGTAGTTGCATCAGCTGAAAACTTTTTTATACTAGGTGGACTAAAAGCCCTAGTGAAAAATGGAAAAAAAGAAAGAAAAACACCATTTGACTATGAAAGTGGGATTTATCATGAGGGCCTAAAAGGATCAAATGTTTTGGTGCCAAAAACATTAAAACTTGCAATTTTTAGGTGGTATACAAAACCTCATCAAAATCTGTGTATATCAATGAAAGTAATCTTAGGGAAAACTGAGGAGAAAAGAAAAGACTAGACAGATGGCACTGGCACAGCAAGAAGAGCATGCATACCCTAGGTGGTGGTGGTGGTGGTGATGAGGTCCTTGTCCTAATAAGGGATCGTTATTGAAGACCAGCTGACGAGCCCGGTTCAGTGTTTCTGTCTCCCTCTCTGACGAACAAATATACAACAAAACATCAAATCATATCAGATCAAAATTTTGCTGAATGAAACAAACCCAAACCCCACCAAGAATTTCAGCAAAAAAAATTCCCACTCAAAATTTTCTGTTTTTTCGTGGAAAACAAGATTGACATGACTTCGTTTCATGGAAAATCATTGGAGGAATTTACTCTGTCCAAGTTAAACAAATTTAATAATGCCAACTGACTCAAGACTTCACTTTAATTCTTACTCCATCAGTCTTGGTTGGAATTTGGAACAAACGGATAAATAAATATACTTCTTATATATGGAACTTATTACTGGCAATTAGATATAAAAAAAATTAAGTGGCAATAAATTGAAAAGACTTGCCCTGGCGGTGACGATTCATGTGTCCCCCAAGAGCTTGAGACTTGCAGAACTTGAGGGAGCAAAACCTACATTCGTAGACCTTCCCACTGTCATCTTTTCCATCCTTAGCGCCGCTTTTCTTTCTCCTATAGCCTGCTGCAAAAATGCCAGTTCAAGAAACCTTGATGAGACCATTCTTTTGTACCTTACTAAACCACCATAGACAACCCTAAGGCCACTAAGCAGCACAAGATGAATTCAACTATTAATTGAAAAGAAAAAAAAACCAAAAAAAAAAAAAGGAACAGAAAGAAAAAACTTCCACCTAGCTAGCTAGGCTCTTCGATCAAGTCCAAAATCATCAACAGATAGAAGAAAGTAGTAAGAAAAAAGAAGTCTTGAATCACAGTAGGGAAAAAAGGGCATTCCATTAAAAAAAAATTATCATGTCTTTAGACTCTTTTTACACAAAAGCAAAGAAGTCAGGAATGGTTTAAGGAAATCCAAAAATGTAATATTTTGTTTTAAATGTAACAGAAGGGAAAGGAAAAGGTTTAGCTGATTCTCGTTGATTACTTCAAGTTAAAATCACGGAAAGATCTTATTCTCTTTGACAACCATCTTTATTTTTGAGTTGGGGGAGGAAAAGATGATGATATATGAACTCATGAGTGAGGGACATTCAAATAGTACACTAGACAAAGTGATGTACCAGCAGCATATGAAGAGCTGTCTTCTATGACTTGTTTGCCATCTTTACTATAATCCTCTGGTAAGTTGTTGAGGTCTAGCGGGTTTTCTTCTGATCTCCTGGAAAATACAAATAAAGGGCAAGAAATAACAAAAATGCAAAATTTGCTTAAAGAAACAAGACATAAGGAAGAAGATAAACGGAAAAAAGTATGTGTGTGTGAATGTTGTTGTTCTTGTGTGTGAGTGTGAGTGTGTGTGTTGGAAACCTACATGGCACCGACCGACAGAGAAGGACAGAAGGAAATATGAGGTTAAAAAAATTGTTCTACAGATGAAGGGATAATAACTAAAACTTGGGGAATTATAAGACTTCAGTTTGGGACTGAAATGTAGAGAGAAGGGGTAGTTGAGTTGTTGAGTGATGATGAAGAAAGGAGCTTATAAAAATCTCTCTCGCAGTTCTACTGCCACCCTCTCTTGAGACATTTCTTTCCAATTGAAAAAGCATATAGATATGAGAGAGAGAGAGAGAGAGAGGGGGGGGGGGGAACAGAGAGTCTCGTGACTTTAAAAAGGAGTGTGGGAGATGGATAGAGGAATAGGATTGAGAGGAGGGATCAGGAGGGCTTGGGGCTGGTGCTGTCATTTGGTTAGGACTGAGCGGGAGAGAGATATTGAGAGGGACGTGGCCTCTCAAGTATTTGTGTGCATTCTAAGGTGCAAGTGTTGGCCTTACCTGCTAGGTTTATTGCCCTAGCTGGAGGATCTTTACTAGTCTCATGTCCAATGATATAGTGAATTGTTGCATGTGTATAAGCCAACATGCATTTATACTTCGTGTATAGTCGGGGGAGTGTTTATCAAGAGTTGTTTGGAAAAAATTTAAAAAAAAAAAATCCATTGTTGAGATTTTCTCATTTGAATTTTGTGCGGTAAAGAGTGAAAGTTAGAAAAGGTTTAAAAATATGGTAGATACCGCAGTGAAGAACATCGATTTCAACACTCTAGTCTTTTAGTTTCTACACTAAATGCCATTGTATCTCGATTTTCTCATGCAATTAGTACTTCTAATTGTTGAACCCCAAAATGTGAAAATGGCATATAATCTCTCGATTATAGTCAAGGTTTGAAGTTAAAAACCACTTTACAAAAAACAAAAAAAGCTAATTTAAGTGACCTTGAAGTGCTTTTAAGTACAACTTTTGGCATTTCAAACGTTTAGAAAAAGAGATGTACCTTCAATAGTTTTAACAACTTTTGAAATGATAATGATTTTCATGGTCCGGTTTAAAGAGCTAAATCTAACAACAAAAAATCCTATATCGTACAAGACAAGATGGAATAAACATCAATTTTCGTTTCTTAAATTAATCAGTCGGTCTAACTTCACAAATCACAAGGGTCCTCGCCTGCAGAAGATGACATTCATACTCTGGAGGCAGTCAAGACAAAAAGAGGAGGGGGGCCGGAAACCTTGCCTCTAACTCATGCTGTCTAGTCATAATAAACTGGCATCATTTGTAGGAGATCGAGCATGCATGCTGCAGAATAGATACTATGATGCGTACAGGAAGCCTAGGGCCTCTTGGTATCAAATGCAGTATCCTGACTTTCCCATTTATCATTGAAGTGTTTCCATCACTAGGATACATATGAATCTTGTCAAGGATTTTCATTTCAGTACAGTTGCAACTTATAAGAAAAATAAAGACAATATTAACTGCACTCAAAAAGGAGTCGTTTTCTTATGTTGAATGGTGGAATCAGAATTTCAGGTTACCCAACTCGAAATAGTAACATATATCGCAAACGGATCAAATAGGCGAACCTAAACTGAACTTGTGTTCCTAAATGTAACGTCATGGAATGACTTGATCGATTGGACTGGGGGTTTGTGTGGTGGGGGGGGAATAATGCAGCCGGTCGCCCGTTGGGGGAGGAGGGGGATGGTGGGGGAGAATTGAGCACGCTACAAGTTAGAAGAAGAGCTAGAAAACACAAGGAGAAGTACTGGGATAATGCTATAGTGCCCATCGTTACAATAACTTGTGAATATTTTACATTAAAATACTGGTACAACCGGTTAATAGTGGTTTCCACATCCAAAATTGATATCTGTAGTAACAATTGCACTACTGTTAATTTAGGTTTCCAATATTCAAAGTAACATCAGGTGGTAATATGGTAACTTTGGTAATAAAATTGGTATATTATAAGTGTGATATGAAATTTACTCTTTAAATATCAAACGTTACTACTTCTTTAATGAAACTTACTACTTTATAATTAGTAAGTTTAATTCAATAATAGTAAGTTTTTGTTGAAAAATGATGAGTTTTACAAATAAAATGGTAAATTGGTGAATTGTCCAAACTTACTACTTTATTTCACAAACTTACCATTTTACTTAAGAAAGTTACAACAATTATAATTAGTAAGTTTGATTCAAATTATGGTAAGTTTTTGTTGAAAAATGGTAAGTTTTACAAATGAACTGGTAAATTGGTGAATTGTCCAAACTTACCATTTTACTTAAGAAAGTTACAACAATTATAATTAGTAAGTTTAATTCAAATAATGGTAAGTTTTTGTTAAAAATGGTAAGTTTTATAAATAAACTGGTAAATTTTTGAATGATTAAAGTTACTAGTTTAGTGAACAAACCTACCATTTTAGTTAAAAAAAACTTACATAGAATTTATAATCATTATTTTAATGGAATCAGAAAAGACGCTAAAAGACCAAAATTGTTGCTAAAGGTGGGTAATTTAGACAACTACCAGTAACTAGCATTATTTCAGTATTTCGTGAGGTGACTTGTCGTCACTGCAGCACGATCCCTTATTTAATCATCAGAAAACAAATGCAGATCTTGATGACGACGAAATTGGTAGAATTCAAATTTGTTATAGGTATATATCCTACATTTTTCTTTGAAATTAGCAAATTATTCTCTAAGCAATATTTCTTCATAAGATTTAATGCATATGTGGAGAATTCTTCGATGATTTTCATAACGACCATTTCTTCATAATTAGTTTCCAAAAAAAATAAAGAGTTTTGAAGGACCAACTTTATTTGGTATTCAAACTTCATGTTGGTATATCCTCGGACGATGAAAGGGAACCGTTCAATTTCTTTAAAGGTCAATGGATCATCTCTCTTCGGGAATTCTTTCACTTTACCTGCCTCCAAAAAGATCCCTCAAATGAGCAAAAGAGCGGTTTTGCTACAAAATTTGACAAAGCGTCTAACTACGCTTAACAGCAATTACCTTTTGGGTAAATTGGTGGCGTTATCTTAGATCCGGGTGTGTGTGTGTGTTTTCTTACAGTTGTTGAAGTCTAACTACGCTTAACTGTTTAAACAGAGCATGCTTGAGTTTTTCTTTTTACTCATTTTAATCTCTTCACGCTTGAATTTCTTTTATTTCTTTGCTCTTTTTTGGCTTTTACTTTTCCCCGCTTTCTTTCTTTTCCATTTGGGCTTTCAACATTACGGTTCTAAATCAGGCCAAGCCCAGTGCAATAGCCTCTAACTGAACCTCAGTAAACTATTATACATCAGGCCAAGCCCATTAAATGTCCTCTGACTAAATTTTCGTAACAATGGATGTTGTCTCCTCAGACCAAAAGACACAGCTCAGGCTCCTACAGAATCCTGAAGCTATAGCCCATATTCTCCAACTGATAGGGGGCTGCAAATTAAAGTCCGAAACTCGCATGATAATAGTGGGCACACAGTCTCTTTCTCTAATTTCTTCGACGAAAATACTTGCGTGCTTTTTCCTTTTCTTTGGTAGGGATTAGTTTGGATGGATTCAGTTCCAATCACCCATGAGTCACCATGGGTTAGGACATACACCTTAGAAGAGTTCTCATACACGATCTACTTTCTGTAAGAAAATGTTTCGTTCTTATTAATTGAATCAAAACATACAAGCAAAATACTTATAACGCTTAGTTTGGATCCTAGAGGAGTTCTTATACACGATCTATTTTTTATAAGAAAATGTTTCGTTCTTATCAATTGAATCAAAACGTATTTGCAAAATACTTATAATGCTTAGTCTAGGGACCAATTTGTAGAGCATATGATTCATACAATGATTACATAAGTTTTCTTGAGTCATTATACTTCTTTCACCATCAGTTTTCTTATTTCATCTTAAATTATCATACGTATGTGATTATTGCATACACTGTATGGTTACAAAAAAAAAAACAGTTACAGGCGGAACCCACACATGTATTTTACTATTTTCCTTTTGTTGGAGCTCCAACACATGGTAGTTGTAACTTTTGAGATTAGACACAATGTTCTTTATTTCCAATATAGAAAAAGAAAATGGTGCAGAAGAACAGAAGAGGTCCCAATTTCCAAAAGAAGTAGTATTAGATGCCATGCACAACAAAAAGTTATTTTCGTTTGGTCAATTCCAATATACTTTCAAGAAATTCCCACTTTGACGCAAATTATTCTTAAGTAAATTGTTAATGTACCAAAGAAGGCTAGGGAACCGCTCAAATATCATGGAAAGGGAACAATGGAATGTGAAAAGAACGCATCAAAACTATTGCGTTACAAAAAGATGATGCATGGAATATGAACTCGCTGGTTCAATATGATCCAGCAAAAGGGAGTAAAAAATAATATTGCATATCTGATAAGGGCAATTTGATTTTTATATTCATCGCGTTCCAGGGAAGTCAGTCATATAAGCTAGCGATACTAATTCTTCTTTGTCATTTTCATCAATGACTAAAATGGTGTTTAATGAGTGGAAACCTGCGGTTGCAATGCTGGGAGTTTATTTTGCTTTTGCAGTTGTTAATGTAGCTATGAAGAAGGTACTAACTGAGGGTATGAGCAATTTGCTAATTGTCACTTACAGGCAATCCATCTCCCTTATTTTCTTGGTCCCCATTGCCTATTTCCGGGAGAGGTACCAATATGAATATAACATTTTTCTCCATTTCAAGTTCCACTATTTTCATTTCTATCGCCAAATTTGGGTGAGCTGATAAATCCTAATTTACTTTGTTGCAGGAAATACTGGAGGAATATCACAGCTGTCATATTGTGTGGTCTATTTTGCAATGCACTAGTAGGGTTAGTGGCATTAATAATTTGTATCAGTTGTCCTAGCTATATATCTCAGGCCAATCTTTTACAGACAAAAATGGATAAATTTACTTTTTTTTTTCTTTAATTTGTTATCATTCAAGCAAAAGAATCAATTTTTGAATTGATCAAGTTGTTTGCAGGGTCACACTTACTCAATATGTCTTCCTCACTGGACTCAAATATACATCAGCAACATATTCTACTGCTTTCAGCAATATGATCCCTGTATTTACATTTGTTTTGGCACTGCTGCTTCGGTGAGTTCAAGCACAAAATTCACAAGACTACAATTTTTTGTACCCCTAATCTCTCAACTGCATATGTCACTAAGATTAATCTCTTGCAGGCAGGAGAAATTGGACATGAAAAAGAAAAGTGGAAGGGTTAAGGTGTTAGGCACACTTGTCTGTGTTGGAGGAGCTTTAGTTCTGATACTATACAAAGGAAGGATTGTATTGAATGCTCCTAAATCACCACCTATTTTGCTTGAGAAAGCAAAGAATGGGAGGATAAATTGGGCTAGCATAATTGGTTCCACATTTCCACCTATAGGTAATTTTTTGTGGGCTTCATGGTTTGTGATGCAAGCTCGGATTGGCAACATGTACCCCTATCAATATTCTAGCACGGCCATGTTTTCCTTCTTCAGCGCCATCCAGTCAGGCATTCTGTGTCTTGTCATTGACAGACACATTTCATGGGCTCTCAAAGGATCAATTCAGATATCGAGTCTCATATTCGCGGTAAGTAGATTCAACTCTTTCTTTCTTTTTTTTTTCCTTCAATGTTTTTTAGCTGTTTTCACAGTTAAAAACAACTAGTAAAACAAGGAAGAGAGACACAGAAACATAGGTTCTTTTTCTTGGCCTTTGCATTCTTTCTTTTCTTTCTTGTATGTAAACAAACACAGATAAATTTCAGAATCAATCAAGCTATTTTTTGTGAACCCTCAGGGAATTGTGGGATCAGGTCTAGGCTATGTGGGAATGTCATGGTGTGTGAAAGAAAGAGGACCTGTTTTTACATCAGCATTTAGCCCTCTCATACAAGTTTTTGTGATCATCTTTGATGCCTCCTTGCTTCATGAACAGATAGGCCTCGGAAGGTAATCTACATCTCCTGAATTGGTTGTTCTACTTGTGATTTTTCAATCTCAAACACAAACAGACACGAGAACATTTCCGAAATCAGAAGGCCTAAGTTGATAAACTTAATTTGTACGAAAAATTTAACATATAGGTTAATCATACCTGCCAGCAGCATGTCACATCGAGATTTTCCCTCGCGATCACCGGCAATTTTTTTTTTATTCTCATATAATTTCGTCATACTTGTTTTGAACAGCATTCTGGGATCCATTTTGGTTGTTATTGGAATGTATACTCTTCTGTGGGGAAAAGGCAATGAAATAGACCTTCACAAGAATGTTCCGCCAGCAAATCAAGAAAAAGATGGAGATTGCGATCGCACCTTGCCAGTCACTGCACCAACTGCTGTCAGCCCAACAAATTCTGTGCCAGTCACTACACCAACTGCTGTCAGCTCAACAAATTCTGCATGAAATGAAAGGACTCTGTTCTTGTTAGAAAAATATCCTCTGCATACTACAGCAACGGTGTTGAATGTACAAGTGAAAACTACAGAATGCAGCAGATATTTGTCGATTAAAAAAAAAAGAAGTGGAAAATACAGAACTTTTGGTGGAAAAAAATAACAGGATTGCTACTTCTGCCATGTGATGATATCTTGGTAGAAAAGGAAAGTTTTGTATAGATACAGATTGTGAGTTTGTAATTTACATAAAAATTGTATAAGCATGAGATTTTAGAAGCTTTTCAACAGGCAGCTATGATAAAACTTTCCATTTATATCCAGTTCGGACGGTTCTAGTTAAGGGTTCAAGAAAGGAGAATGTTACAGACGAAATGCATACATTGATGATATTGGATTTTTTACAACTGCAAACCGTTACTGCGCCATGAATGATGAATTTGTTTCGGCCAGAAATTTTAGTGTACTATATATTGTTGCCGGAATTTTTTTTGGGTCATGTTTATTTGGCATCACACCTCTCATTGGCATATGCTCGAACTATCTTAAAGATTTTTTTTTTTTTTGAATTTCGTAAAGGTTGAATACACCAATTGAACAAAAAGAAAATCAGGAATTCCTTCAAACCATCTTCATTTCCCTCTCAAATGGTCTACGAATGAGCAAAAGCTCCAGCTTGGCCATTGTTTTTGTCTTCCACAGGCCACAAACCTGAATAAAAAGTATTTCCTCTGCTTTTTCAAATATGAACTTATCTCCCATGATCCTTCCTTGCTCTTAATCGATTTACATTTTAATAGACTATTCTGATAACCATTTTCAAAAAGCCGCTGTCATTGTCACTAAGGTAAATATACTCCTCACTTCTGTTCACGGCGCCATTGTTATTTGATATGCTATTGCATGTTTACTGCGATGCTGTAGTTTTAATCATCCCTTGCTTCGATTAGCAGCGCTGATATTTATTTGTGGCAAGAAGCTCCTAGCGCATGATAATTGCAACTTTGAGATAAGGAATATTGTTCTCAATTCCAGTTCCAGAAATGTGCAGAAACAGAGAACTGGTCTGCATGGCCAAAGAGCATTAGATGCCCTGCATAAGAAAAGTTATGCCTGATTGGTCATTTCCAAATTGTAATTAAAAAAAATAGAAGGAATCGAGAGTCTTGTCAATCATTGTAGACAACTCAGAATTAAATGTGAAAAAAATGCACGAAAGATACCTGTGAGGTCATGGGATGATGATGCATGGAATATGAGCTCTAGTGGTTCCATATATCTAGTAAATGGAAATGATCCAACCAGAAGGGGCAAAAGCAAAACGTTGCACCGTCAATGATCCAAGATTTGATCTGATAAGGGGAATTAGATTTTCATATTCTAAATGTTTCAGGGAAACATTATAGGCCATTATAAAAGTTTGTCAAGCAAATAATCTTCTTAGCATTTACCAGAGGCGATGGACAAAAGGGATTGTGTTGATCAATGGAAACCAGTGGCTGCAATGTTTGGCGTTTGTTTTGCTTTGGCTATTGTTAACATATGTCTCAAGAAAGCTCTGAATCAGGGAATGAGCCATTTGCTCATCGTCACTTACAGGCAGTCCATCTCCACCATTTTCTTGACCCCCCTTGCCCATTTCTGGGAAAGGTACTGAGGAAAAAACTCGAGTATATCTGTGTTTAGAATATTAATGCTTTTTCTCTTGCCAAAATTGGCTGAGCTCAATTCAAATTAGACTTTAGAACCCAGAAACTTTTCTTCCATCAGAATTACCACATACTGAAATATTGTACTCTTATTGCAGGAAATGCTGGAACAATCTCACAGGTGGCATATTATGTGGTCTTTTTTTCGGTGGACTACTTGGGTTAGTGCCATAATATGTGTCCCGCACTCCCATTTCTTTAGTATCTTGCCATGTATAATTATTTGATTTTGGCTCTAGGATAAAGTGAATCTTTTCATAATTCATCTAAGACTGAGTTCTTGAAATAACTTGTTTGCACTTCTCAGGGCCACGCTTACTCAATATTTCTTCCTTGTCGGGCTTAAAAATACATCAGCAACATACACTTGTGCTTTCATTAATATGGCGCCAGTTTTTACATTCATCCTGGCCCTGCCACTTAGGTAAGTTTTAAGCACATCATTTGGATCGCTCTCCAACAGTGAACAATTTATCTGTTATGCAAAATCTTGCAGGCAGGAAAAAGTTAACTTGAAAAACACGAGTGGAAGAGCAAAGGTGTTGGGCACACTAATTTGTGTTGGAGGAGCCTTAGTTCTAATTCTGTACAAAGGAATGCCAGTGATTAACGCGCCTATATCATCCCCTGTAATGCTCCAGAAAGCCAAGCATGACACAGCAAAATGGGTTATTGGTTCGATAATTCTTGCTTTGGGTGGCATTCTATGGGCTTCATGGTTTCTAATTCAAGCTAGGATTGGAAAGTATTACCCTTATCAGTATTCTAGCACAGCCATGCTGTCTTTCTGCAGTGCTGTCCAATCAGCCATCTTATGTGCTATCATCGAAAGACCGAATTCTTGGACCCTCAAAGGACCATTACAGATTTCTAGTATCATTTACGCTGTAAGTGAACATTCAAGCTGTTCTTCATCAACACTATTTGTGATTTTAAACAGGGAAGAAACAGTAATACCCATCCTCCTGCTGTTGCGATCATTTAACTCTTCAAAGAAAGAATGTCCAGCTATGAGATTTTCACATCAACTGTTGATTTCAGAGGAGAACGCTCTAGCTAGTTTCATTTCTTTGCCTACTAAGTTTCGCTTTATGTAATCAAAAGTAAAGGAATTTGAGACGAAACTAAACTAGTTGTTGTGATTCTGCACAGGGAGTTGTAGGATCAGGTCTGTGCTATGTATGCATGTCATGGTGCGTCAAACAACGGGGACCTGTTTTCACTGCAGCATTTAGCCCTTTCATACAAATTTTTGCTGCTATCTTCGATGTCTCATTACTTCATGAACAGATAAATCTTGGAAGGTAATCCTGTGTCTCAAGTTTCATTACTCCTTTTTCCTTATCACGAATTTCCAGATCAATATGTGCCATTGTATCAGTTCTGAAAAGTGGATCATGTCATATCACACATAAAGAAACACAAAAGTATTACAAGAAGAAAACCGAAAAACAAAAAAGTTGAATCATGAGCATAAGTCGACATGCTAAAGAGAAGCACAATTTATATGGAACAACGCTAAAGTACCTGCAAGGATCATATCATGCTAGTGATGCATCCTCGGAATCATAAAGAAGCATAATTATGCTAAAAAGAAGCATAATATAATTTTGATCTTTGCTAATGATTTTAACATTTGTTTTTGGACAGCATTCTGGGATCCATTCTTGTTGTCGTTGGTATGTATGTACTCCTGTGGGGAAAAAGCAAGGAAGTAGACCTTGAGCTTGATAACAGGAATGTTCAAGAAAAAGTTGGAGATACCAACCACGCCTTGTCAGTCACTACGCCGATAGATGCCGGATCAACAACTTCTGCATAACTAAAGTCTTATATTGAAGCTCCTCTGCATCTTTCAAGAATTGTAAGGTTTCTCATGAAATATTTACCCCCCAAAAAAAAAAATCCCAGTAACTGACAACATTTGGTAAACAGACAGTATATTTCGGTATTTTCCATCAAAGGAGGAAATCTACGTGGATACAAAAGATTTCTTGATCAGAAACCAAGATTCAAGGTTCAGAAATCACAAGAAGAAATAAAGAAACAATAATGATTTTTTCACCATCGTGTTTTTTTTTTTCTTTTTTTGGGCACGACTATAGCCGCCAAGGAATTATCTGCATTGTTGACCATAGATTGCCTTTGATACTTTGCATCTGTTGTATGCATGTAATAGATTGTCTAAAAAGAATATAGCTTTTGTGGGATAGAATTTTTTTTGGAGTTTTTGTAGAAAAATGTAATGTAAGATTTGATATATGTAAAATAGAAAGGTGATTGAGAAATGTGTTCACAAAAAATGTAAAAATTTTCTTAGAAAATAGCAATTCAAACAAGGCCAATTTCCATATTATACTCTTGGAAGATTGCATATCTCTAATTTTCTGCACACTACTTTGAAATGCAAATTGTGGCTCCACAAAAGTTCTTGCATTCATTTTTAATTTCTCTAGAATTAAATCAACCACGGAGAATTTGCGGATTTGGTGTCTAAATCCCTTCTAAAACAAAGAAACAATATGGATGGTTGTATTACACTATTTCCTTAAACAGCACCCATGAAATAGAAGAGAAAGATATGAATATTTATCAGACCCCAGATTTAAATGAATTTCAAATGCATCCACACAATTTGGATCAACCCTCAACTTGGCATGCAAAGATTAACTTTTTAATTCCTCTTTTATTATTAATTAATTGATGATCAATTTTTTTCAAAAAAAAAAAAATCAAGAGCAGTCATTTGAATAAGGAAGTTAGCAGAAAATGAAGATCTTAGTGCAATATATCACAAGTGTATATAATTCGATCAAAGAATATATCCCACCAAAATAGCTGCCCTCTAAGCATGATTTTAGTTGCTATATTATAATTGGTAATTTGAAAATGCTTTTTGATAAGAAAATTATTAAACAGTTTAGCTAATTGGTGCTCAATAAGCATTCATTTAGAGGGTTCTCAGTTACTAGTTTTTAAGAAAAGTGTAAGGTGTATTTGGACCATGATTTTAGGCCTTTTTTTAGCAGACAAAGTTTTGTTAAAATTCTATCTACATTTATTTGTTAAAACAGTCTAAGTTCTATTTTTAAAATTTTCAAAATACCCAAAGACACATATGCCATTTCTTTTTCCACCACCACTCTTCCTCATCCTTTCTACTTCCATTACTGCTGCTGTGCACACCTGCACCGCCCTTCCTCTTATTTCCTAGTGCCTCTTCCACCTTCCCTTCCCTCCTCCTTTCCTCTTTTTCACTTTCTCCTTCCACCCCTTGCTTCCCTTTCCCTCTTTTCTCCCACGTCCTTCTTCTTTCCCCTCCCCTCCTCTCTTTCGCTCTCTTCTCCTCTACCCACCATCCTCCTATTCTCTCTTTCCTCTCTTCCCCTCTTCCCGCACTCATATTTCCTCTCTCCCATGATCTTGTCGCGACCAAATCTAGTCACACATGTGCATTATATCTTATATGTGAAGATAAATTTTACAAAATATCACATGTTTTTTCTTCCTTGATTGCAATACAACACATATTTCTATTCCTTTTTCGCAAAGTTCAGAATCTACCTACTTAAAGTAATTATATGCATGACGATTCTAAGCAGAAAAAGAATATTACTACTTTAATTTGTTTTATTTAAAAGATTAAAAAATAATTGTTCTATAGTAAAAACAAAAACTTATAATTTGAACATCCAAAAAATGTTATGGGGTCTTTCCTTATAAATCATGTAGAAGGGCATTTTCATCACAAATTTTAAATGGTTACAATGAGTGATATTTTTGTCAATTCAAATGTTTTAATAGTCAACTTGATGAGGTGGATTGAAATAAAGATGAAATGAGAAGAAATAAATGTTAAGGTATAAACTACTATTTAGACCAAACCTTAAAGGGACTTTTTGTGATTAACCCTTCAAACTGTTTTTCTTCTATTTTTTTTCTTTTGCTGTTTTCATAGTTGCAGATAATTAGATAACTAGTGTGAAAATGTGGAAGAGAGACAAAAATAGATATTTTTCTTTACTTTTGCATTCTTTTTTTTTCCTTTTATGTAAAGAAAGATGAATAAATTTCTGAATCAAACAACCAGCTTTTGATTAAACCTCGGGGAATTGTGGGAGCAGGTCTGTGCTAGGCCTGTCAACGGGTCGGGTCCAGACCGGAATTAATAAATCCGGATCCAGACCCGTTATACTGCATAAGTTTCGGATTCGGCCCGAATACCCGACGGGTCTCCTATCTTTCTACCAGACCCGCACCCGACGGGTCCCGGATCAGTGTCGGGCCTACCCGACAAAAGGCTCGTCAAAAACCTATTCATGCTACAACTTCAGCACTTGAAAATGCAGTCTGATTTTTATCACATTCTCCTCTTATATTCAAAAGCATAGCTAACCCCTCAGGAGTGACCCCATGAAGGTTCCAATATGCAATCCAATCAATACTCTCACCATTATCGAAGGGACTATCAGGTCAAGAAAGGACTAGAAATTTGTACATCAAAGGAGAAACAAAAAGGAACAAGGTGATGAATCGTTTTTCCTAACATCACCACAGCTCAAGAGTTACCAACAAGAAAAAAAATGCAACTCCCAATTTTTGGTAGAAAATTCCACTCCAACTACCAATACCTAGACAAAAATGGCGAATCCAAGAGACCAAAGCGTTTGGGGTCACAATCACTAGCAATCATAAATATTCGTGAAGATTTTCAGGAAATTTGTGAACATTGACCGCGTATAAAATTACTTCTAAGAGAAGGAAAACTGGAGTCCTTCTAAATCCGTGTTTACCACAGTCATGTACACGCGCACATTTCCTTATTGGAGGAGGAGCTAGCAGCCTCGAACGTTACAATAAAGAAAGACTAAGGATTTTCTAAACAATAATGGAGCATTCTTGGGAACATCTTCTCCTGTATCAATCTCAGAAGAAACACTTTGGGAAACCCCCCAAAAAATTTAAAAAAAAAACACATTGAAGAAAGTAAATAACAGGTTGTAGAGAGCCATGAAAAATGATAACTTAAATGGGGTCGTTCTTGGGCTAAAAAAAAAAATGCGATGGTTCCTCCTTATATAGCAGAGACAAACATCTATACACATCTAGCATTATGTCTGGGTTTCCCAATACGCAGGGACATACAGCATATGAATATTTCCCCTTTTCAATTTCCCTCTTAGCAATTTGTCACTGACCTGTGATTGTGAGAAAGAAAGCTGGGCTGCTAGAAGCCTGGAAGAGCTGGAAGAGTTAGGCTTCTTTGGAGCTGCAACCGTCAGGCATCAGAGATAGAGAGAGCTCGCCGGCGTCAGATATGGAGAGAGCAAAAGAGAAGAGAGTGAGACTGGAAGAGCTGGGCTTCTTTGGAGCTGGCCAGACTCGACGGTTTCTTTGGAGCTGGGCTTCTTTGGAGCTAGAGATGGAGAGAGTCAGAGAGCTGAGAGCGTCGCCGGTTTCAGTGTTTCACGGCGGACTGGTCACTGGCAGAGGCGGGAGGCGGGAGGCGGGAGGCAGAGCAAAAGAGAGAAGAGAGTGAGGGGAAAAAGGGATGTGCGGCGGTGGGTATTAAGGTTGGAAAAATTTGGGAATGAAAGTAGTAAAGATAGGTATATATTTTTTAATTATTAATTAATTAAAACGGGTTCGGGTTGGATACGGGTCGAAATGGTATATTTCGTATCCGATTCGTAAATTTATTAGATAAAATGGGTCCGGATCCGAGTCGCGGATCTATATACCTGTCCGTACCCGGAAAATGTTGGCGGACCCGGACCATTGACAACCCTAGTCTGTGCTACGTGGGCCAAACGAAGAGGACCATTTTTATTCACCGTACAAGTTATTGTTGCCATCTTTTACTTCTCCTTACAAGTTTTAGTTAAGGATTCAAGACAGGAGAATGTTACATACGAAGTGCATACATTGATGATATTTGATTTCTTACAACTATAAACAGTTTATCGGACGATATGAAACACTTTGGTCCCAAAATAGTAAAACCAATTCTCCAACCATTGCTGGATCTATGGTTTTATAAATGAATGATGAATTTGTTTGGGCAAGAAAACCTGGTCGAGAGTACACGACATATGTTGCTAGAATTGCCATTCTCTAGAAGAATGTAATTTAAGAATTTTTTAGAAACAAACGACAATGGAAATGTTTACCGCTATGATAAAATTCGAAGCAAATGGATGAGATGGATAAATTGCTGTGGATATTCTTTTTGGGATATTTTTGTCATGTTCATTTGGTATCAAACTTCACAATTGAATATGCTTCAACTGTGGCTGGGTGCCATGGCTTATACGCAGTTAAAGAAGACAGAGATTAATATGGCTAGTTAGGGAGATATGACTATTGACTAGTTAAGGGCAATTTGGGGTTTTTGTGTCAAACAGTTCTGGCAGCAATATTTCTGCTCAGGCAGTATCACTAGCTTTGACCTTTAAAGGTTCGAGTTAGGGGTGCAAACGAGCCGAGCTCGAGTCGATCTTTGGCTAATCGAGCCGAGCTCGAGTTAATTTTATGAAGCTCGAACTCGAGCTCGAGCTCGACGAGCTCAAAATATCGAGCTCGAGCTCGAGCTCGAGTTCGAGCTTAAAAAATAAAAAAAAATAATTATTATTATTTTATTTTTGAAAAATAAAAAATAATTTTTTAAAAAAAATGAATAAAATAATAATTTTTTTAACAAATAATAAAATATTAGGGATATATATGTAATTTTACTATTAAAATAAAAATAAAAAAATATATATAATTGAGCTCGCGAGCCAACGAGCTTAATATTTTTTAGCTCGAGCTCGAGCTCGAGATCGACTTAATTAGCTCGAACTCGATTCGAACTCGATATTGACGAGCTCGAGTCGAGCTCGTATTCGAGCCGATCGCGAGCGGCTCGATTCGCGATCGATCGCGAGCGGCTCGATTCGCGAAACACCCCTAGTTCGAGTGCACCAATTACACAAAAAGGAAATCTGGGATTCTTTTCCCTCTTAATTGGTCTAACGAATCAGCAAAAGCTCCAGTTTCCTTGGAAAATTCGTTTTCCGTTCAAAGGCAGAAAGCCTGAGGGCTGAGAGATCGCACCGAGAGACAACTCAGGCTTCCCATACAAGCCCAAACCACCTTTCCCCTTGTCACGGCAACAAAAGTGCTGAACAATTCCTCATTGGGCCCACATGTTTGAGCCCCTCCTTCACAAGTTACTGAGCCCAAGCTGGAGCGTAGCTAAAGAGGGGTAGGAGTTGGGGCATGCCGTATTTGACCTCGAGTTTGGGAGTGTGAATGAGTGAAACTAAATCGAGTTACTCAAGAGTTTTCTCGTCAAAGTTTGAAATCAAACACAGGTTGACTAATTTTTTATCCAAATTCGAACAGCTTAAATAGCTTGACTAGTTTGAATTTGAGTTTAACATATGTAGCATGAAAGATTGTAAAATATGCGTGTGTCTATATCCGCTAATGTGTACATTATTAGTATATGTAGACTAATTTTTTGTGTGTACTTCCTCTATCCCAAATTATTTATCACATTTCGGGATTCCAATTTTTTAAAAACATTGGTTTGATGGGGATATTTGTGGATTTGTTTCCAAAGTTGCTCTCAAAAATTCAAATTTCAAGTTTAAATTTAATATGAAATGTAGAAAAAAGAGAAGATAAGATTGGAAGAAAAGATCAAAAATAACTTTGACTTTAGTAATTAGTAAATCCCATATATATTGACTGTATATATACTATCACTTTTGAATCCATGACATTAACATATGTTCAAAAGTTAAATTTCATATTCAAGTTTTGCATAGTTGTCATTTATTCAACGCTGACAGCGTCTAACTGTCAGTATAAAAAAGATTAATCCTAAATATGACAAGCATTTTAGGATATTCCAAAATAAAGAAACATGACATTTTTTATGGGAGGAGAGAATATATATATATATATAATTATATATTTACATTACTTGATATCCATTTGAGCTAGATTTGATCGAGTTTGAGCTAGGCAAATCAAATCAATCTCGAGCTCAAGCTCACACATCTATCTCCACTAACTTGAGATTCTTTTCAAATTCTGCCAATATCTTCTTTACATTTTGAAAAAGAGCTAATTTATATCACTTGAGATCCATTTGAGCTAGATTTGATTGAGTTTGAGCAAGGCAAATCAAATTGAATTAGACCTCGAGCTCGCACCTCTAGCTCCAATGACACGAGATTCTTTTCAAATTTTGCCAATATTTTCTCTACTTTTTGAAAAATGGCTTATCTCCCATATTCCTTCCTTGCTCTTAATTTATTTCCATTTTATTAGAATATTGTGTCAACCATTTTCAAAAATCCGCTGTAATTGTTAATTATGTAAATATACTGTCCATTTCATTAATAACTCACTTTCTGTTCTCGCCATTGTTATTGGTATACTGCTGCATGTTTAATGTGCTTCTATAGTTTTGGAATCACCATATTCGTCAACATCACCACAAGATAATTGTTTTTAATCACTTTTTCCTTGCTACGTTTAGTGGCACCGCTAATTTCATATGGGGGAAATGAAGCTCCTGGCGTTTTGAGATTAGACATATTGTTCTTTCCAAAAATATGCAGAAACAGTGAACTAGTCTGCATGGCCAAGAGCATTAGATGCCATGCATAAGAAAAGTGATGCCCGATTGGTCGTTTCCAAATTACTTGCCATTCACTATAATTAATCGGTGTAAAAAAGAACTTGACAGACTCGAGAGTCTTCTCAATCATGATGGACAAATTAGAACTAAACGTGAAAAAATGCACGAAACATCTGTAAGGACATAAGAAGATGACGGATGGAATATGAGCTTCTGTGATTCCATATGTCCATCAAATGGGAATGATCCAATCCAAGGGGGGGAATAGTTGCTAAAAATAGTATAAAATTGCACAGTAGGTTTCCAAGATTTTATCTGATAAGGAGAATTTGATTTTCATATTCTAAATGTTTCAGGGAACTTCATTATATTAGTTTGTTAAGTAAATAATATTCTCAGCATTGACCAGAGTTAATCTATGCAATGGCCAAAAGGGATTGTTTTGATCAGTGGAAACCGGTGGTTGCGATGGTGGGCGTTAGTTTTGCCTCGGCCATTGTTAACATATCACTCAAGAAGGCCCTGAATCAGGGAATGAGCCATTTGCTCTTTATCACTTACAGGCAATCCATCTCTGCTATTTTCTTGATCCCCATTGTCTGTTTCTGGGAAAGGTACAGAGACAAGTACTGAATATATTTCTGTTTAGAGCAGTAATGCCTTTTTCTCTCGCCAAATTTGGCTGAGCTCAATCCAAATTAGACTTGAGAATAAATATACTTTTTATTCCAACAGAAGTACGATGTGTTGTAAAATATAGTACTCTTATCGCAGGAAATGCTGGAAACATCTCACTTGTGGCATATTATGCAGTCTTTTTTTCAGTGGACTACTCGGGTTAGTGCCAGTCTGTTTTAAGTACTGTGCCATAATTACTCGATTTTGGCACCATAGCTTACGATAAAATTACCTATGTATAATTCATGTCAGACAGTTATTGAAATGAGTTGTTTGCAGGGCAACCCTTACTCAATACTTCTTCCTTGTTGGGCTTAGATATACATCACCAACGTACACTTGCGCTTTCATTAACGTGGTGCCAGTGATTACATTTATGTTGGCCCTGCCACTTAGGTAACTTGTAAGCAAATCTTTTAGATGGCTCTCCAATTATGAATTATGTATCAATTACACAAAATCTTGCAGGCAGGAGAAAGTTAACTTGAAAATTTCAAGTGGAAGAGCAAAGGTGTTGGGCACAATAGTTTGTGTTGGAGGAGCCTTAGTTCTAATCCTGTACAAAGGAATGCCAGTGATCAATGCGCCTAAATCATCCCCTGCAATGCTCCAGAAAGCCAAGCATGATACCGAAAATTGGGTTATTGGTTCCATATTTCTTGCGTTGGGTGGCATCGTGTGGGCTTCATGGTTTCTCATTCAGTCTTGGATTGGAAAATTTTACCCCTATCAGTATTGCAGCACAGCTCTTTTGTGTTTCTTCAGTGCTATCCAATCAGCCATCTTATGTGTTGCCGTCGAAAGACCCAATTCTTGGACCCTCAAAGGACCATTACAGATTTTTACTATCATTTATGCTGTAAGCATGCATTGAACCTGTTTTTAATCAACATATCTTGTAGTTTTAATCAACATGTAGTTTTAAGCAGGGGGTAAAAGCAAGTTATATACTATCAAACTTCTGATTTCTGAAGAACCCTCTAGTTACTTTCGTTTCTTTGCTTATTGATTCATTCTTTGAGCTTTATGTAACTATCAGGAAGGAATTGCAGAACTAAACAAGCCAATCTCTGTTAATTCTATACAGGGAATCGTGGGATCAGGTCTGGGCTACGTAAGCATGTCATGGTGTGTAAAACAAAGGGGGCCTGTTTTCACTGCAGCATTTAGTCCTTTCCTACAAATCTTTGTTGCTATCTTTGGTGTCTCCTTACTTCATGAACAGATAAATCTTGGAAGGTAAATCTGTCTCAAGTC